TTGTTTTGCCGGGTTGATCAAAAATTTATGCATTCTTATTGGCTGTTATTTGATCTAACCAAAACGGATTGGGGTGTTCATAGATGCACTCGTATTATATTTGGAGTGCAGTATATTTAAGGGTATCGATATATTGTATAGAGGATTTTATATAGTGTCTACAATCATGTGGGGATACTATATACAGTGCTAAACGGTATCGTTATTGTTGTCACATACATGTACGTAGTACATGTAGGTAGTATCTACATGTATCTCGCTTTCTTTTGAGCTTGAGATTGTTTTTATTCGATACGTATTTGGTTTTTGACATTATATATATTGATATTTGGTTTTTCGACATTAGTTATATTATGCTTGTCAAATTTTTGAATTTTTAAAGATTACATTAAAAAATCATTTACTCTTAATTTATATACACACAATCATAATGATTAGTTTATTTTTGTCAACATTAACAATAAAATTATTTTCTCGTTCGCGACGAAAACTTTACACTTCTTTTTCTACATTAACATTATTCATTTTATTGATAACGACAATAATAATTACAATATTTCCCGCACAAACGAATGCGAGCTACGTAATCGGAGCACCATATATTGAACATGAAGATGGCCTAGTGATATGGGACACGAAAACATACCCAACAACCAATGACGTTCTTGTGCGTCTTGTAAAATTTAACAAAACATGCGTCGACTCGAAAATGCGTTTCCGTCTTATTTCCGCCCAAGATTCTTCGGTAAATCCAATCGAATTCACATACCCTGGAATACAAGCTATCAATTTCTGTCATCATTTGATTCGGTTGTTCCCGTTAAGCGGACAATACTTTATGGTGTCTTTTTTCACGCGATTTTATGATTCATCTACATCGCCACCGAGAACTGTGTATCAAGAGAGTGGGTTGGTGGTTGATTGGTCTGCTAACGTTATTACGTGTGTTGATTTTTTATTATGCTCTTTACAGTATTTATTAGGCAATTTTGAAAAGAAATAATTTTTATAATGGTCTTCAATTAAAGTGAGGTTCGATTCGGAAATGTCACAATGAATGATATTAAAAATGTTAGGAGTGGATTCGGTGCAGTGAACAGCAATGGCTTTATATGGTCTAATTTCTACGAGGGTTTAACTGTGCTTAGCTGGGCACATTTTACTTTACAGTGAGTAATTATCAAATCGACTTGGTTTCAAAATTGTTTGAATAACACAATTGATAACTGTTTTATTTACATAGTGCAAGCAAAAATTATTTTTCGCTGATTAAAAATGGAACTGGCAACTTTCCAGTGACTTGGGTTAAACCGAGTGTAGAAGTTTTCCCGACTGCTGATGAAGGGTAAAATTTTCTTATTTGATAGACGTATCATAGGATATAATATTAATACAAGTGGTATATGCACATTATACGTAGTTATGGATTTTTAATAACACAGTAGAAATATAGATCATGGCACGCAAAAGCATATTTTTTATCCTCAAAATCAAACGTGTTAACAATTTCCGATGTCTACATCTATGATCAACCCGCAACTAAAATGATTCCAGTCGACTGCACCTTAAAAAACAAAAACAAAAGCAACGGATTCGCATGCGTTCTAGAAATAACAGGCACAAACAGCATTTCATACGAACTTGTATCATTCCTACGAAAAAACCAACAACAGCAAACTAGCAGCAAACTATCACTAAACATTAACACGGACGAATTGAACGCGTGCAAGGTGAAACTGCTTTTAACAGGTGACGTTTTTGTCGCAGCGACTTATAAGAATAATTCGATATCCGGGTATATTTATAGTGAAGATGGGACTTTTAATCGTATTTGGAATTATGATCAAGCGAGATCTCATCCGTTAATTTCTGGTATTTTTCCGGATAATTCTGCTTATTTGTTGGTTTCTACTGGAAATGCGAGTACGCCGGCGACGACTCAGCCCGCTTTTGCTGTGATCAACAATTGGACTTTGATTAGTATTGATTTCAATGGTATATCAGGGAAACGTAAGTATTATGTTAATTGCAATTGTCTTAACAAGCAAAATGCATTAATTAATTCATTCATTTAACAAAGGTGTTGAAATAGTCGTCAATCGAAAAAAAACAACCCCCGAGAAAAACTCACTAACCCCATTAGAACTCGAAGAAATATCAGTAACATTCAAACATCTAGTCGCATTATCAACTGGCAACCTATCAATCTACCAAGTATTCGACAGTAATAGCCCATCATCCTACCATATACTACGACAAAAGTATCTCGTCAATGCCTACGCAAAACTTATAAACGCTAACAACATCTCAATCACGATGCCGGTAATGGATATCGAGATCGTGAATAATTTTGTTTCTTTTAATTTTTCGTCGTCGATGGGTGTTTCTGATTGGGTTGTTAATACAGGTATTTGTTTATATTTTATTATTGTACGAATTTACGAATTTTTTTGATACTAACGCTAACGCTGACGCTAATGCTTAATTCTAATATTTCATAAGGTAACGGTAATATCGCCGATTGCACAATCCGTCTAACTATCAATGGCGCCTTCATCTCACTTACCAAAAACTTCGAATCAATTATCCCATTACTCGATGACTATCTCTACGCGCCCACCACATTCAAATACGATCCAAACATCGAACATAAAAATAACAATAATAGTTGCGCGAATGTATCAAGCACGATCTCGAATTTAAATACGCTGCTGAAAAATAAGCGGATTAGAACCGCTCCGCAGGGGCTCCTAGTTAAACGTATCGGTATGTAATTATTGACCTAGATATGTTTATATTATATTATCAGTTGCTCATTTGTTTTTACATAATTTGGATCTGTAGCGAAATTTTTTAATGATATAAGCTTCGTCGATGGTCTGTTTTTGGTTGCTTTCCTTTCCACATTAACATACTACAGAAGTCCAAAAGTAAGTTTTTTACATATTCAGTCATTAATTTATTCTTCGTTTTATTATATTGTAAAAATTAACACTTTTTGGTAAACATTTTCTTAGGGCTCTTTATCTCAGTGGAGTACTGCTTCATCCCTGCTAAGTTCATATTCATCCCTGCTAAGTCCATATTCATCCCTGCTAAGTCCATATTCATCCCTGCTAAGTTCATATTCATCTCTGCTAAGTAAGTTTAAACTATCAGTCGAAACGTATGCAACAAAGCTTAAAAACAAGTTTGACGAAGCGTTAGTTCAAACTCAGGAAAAAATTCAGGAATTAACTAAAAAAATAAACAACAGAAAAATTCAACGTTCTGCTTTAGTTTCTTCACTTCCACAAAGCTCAACTTCAGCTTCATCTCAGCGGAGTTCTGCTTTAGTTTCACCCCCACAAATTTCAAATTTCACTTCATCCCTGCGAAGTACATTTTCATCTCTGCGAAGTACATCTTCATCTCTGCGAAGTACATCTTCATCTCTGCGAAGTACATCTAAAGAGTTTGAACTATCAGTCGAAACATATGCAACAAAGCTTATAAACAAGTTTGACGAAATGGTATTTCAAACTCAGGAAAAAATTCAGGAATTAATTAAAACTTCTACATCGTCAGAAGAATTAATTGAAACTTCTGAAACTTCAGAAGAATTAATTGAAACTTCTGAACCGGCAGAAGAATCAATTGAAGCTTCCACACCGTCACCAATATTTACTAAAAAAGTAAACAACAAAAAAATCCAACGTTCTGCTTTGGTTTCTTCACTTCCACAAAATCAAACTTCAACTTCATCTCCGCAGAATTCTACATCAGCTTCGCCTCCACAAAATCCAATTTCAGCTCCATCTCCACGAAGTTCTTTTTTACACTTTTTTCCAACTTTAACTTCTCTTCTTCCTTCACAAAGTCAAACTTCTTCACTTCCACAAAATCAAACTTCAGCTTCATCTCCGCAGAATTCTACTTTAGCTTCGCCTTCATCTCCACTAAGTTCTGAATTAGTTTCTTTTTTACAAAGTTTTCCTTCACGAAATCTAACTTCAGTTTCATCCCCGCGAAGTTCTGCATTAGCTTCATCCACACAAAGCCGCCGAACTTCTTTGTTTTCACTAAATCCAACTTTAACTTCCCCTTCACAAAGTCAAACTCCAGCTTCATCTCGGCATAATTCTACTTTAGCCTCATCTTCACAAACCCCGACTTCAGCTTCATCTCCGCATAATTCTGCTTTAGCTTCATCTTCACAAACTCCAACTTCAGCTTCATCTCCATGGAGATCTTTATTTTTCCCAAGGAAAATTTCAACATTATCTCCACAAAGGAAAGAATGTATCATATGTACAGAGAGTTTTGATATGACACAATTAATTCAAATTTCGATCGATTGTCAGCATGAGAACAACATCTGTCAAGAATGTATTGCGAGACATATTGAACATGAGTTGCAAGATAAAGGAAACATTGAAATTAGATGTCCAGGTGAAAATTGCAGAAATGTGATGACCGAAGATTATGTCAAAAAATTAGCCAGTGAAGCGATCTTCGAACGGTGAGCTTTTTTGCATTTTTCAACGAAAACTTATTTAAAAAAGAAATAATATTAATTTGCATAATTATATCATTTGAAAAGATATCAGCAATTGTCACTTGTGTCGGTACTTTCACAAATAGAAGATTTCTACTGGTGCTTAAATCCAAATTGTCATTCTGGTCAAATTCATTATGAAGGAGGTATGTAAGAAAATAATTTAATTTTTAGTTAAGATTTTAATAAATCTAAAGCGTAATTAGTGAAGAATTTTAACGTTATTCTTTAATTGATTTACGTATTGAAGATGCAGCACCAATAATGACGTGTCAATCCTGCTCAAAAAAAACATGTGTTATGCATTCGCTTCCAATTCCAGATGGCTCACTAATTTGTCCACAATGCATCAATATAACCGAAACATTTGATAATGAGCAAGTCATTACGCAAGAACCTATAGCTCCACGACGCACCGACAGTCTATCTTCGTTTGAAGAAGTCTTTAATGAAATTGATATGCAAGAAGAGATAAGTCAAATGCAACAACAAGAAGAGGCAAGAAGGCAAGAAGAAAGAAATAGGCAAGAAGAAGAAAGAAATAGGCAAGCAGAGATAAAGAGGCAAGAAGAGATAAAGAGGCAAGAAGAAGAAAGAAATAGACAACAAGAGATAAAGAGGCAAGAAGATTTGCAGAAAGAAATAATTAGACAAATGGAAGAAAAATCAAAAGCTTATATTGATTCTATGACCAAAAAGTGTTCGAAATGTAAGGCTAATATTGAGAAGAATGATGGATGTGATCATATGACGTGTCGCGCACCTAGATGTGGATATGAATTTTGTTGGCTGTAAGTATTTTTATTTACTTTTGACTTGGTATAAAGTCTGTTTCTTAATATGGTATGGCTTTTTCATTTATTGACAGTTGTTTCGCTGATTATGATGCAAAATTGCAAATATTATGCTTAGTGATCCATCAAGATTAGAAAATGAAAAATTAATACTATTCAATTTTTTAAAAAGTTTTAGATAGATATCTTAGTATAGCGGATTGTGATATTGAAAAGAAATCTTTTCTTCAAAATAATCTAGTCAAATCTTTATAAATGTATCTTTCAGGAACCAGTTTTAGAATTTTCCTTGGTAAATAGAATTCATTGTGAAAACTATTATCATTATATAACAATCAGTAAGAGGTTTAAATGTTATAAAATATGATTATATGTTGATAACTGGATACTGAAAAAGATGTATAGAAGTGGTATTTTATGACATCTCTTAATTCGGTCACATCCACAATTTTGTTCAGTTTTCCGAATCGGACTGGTCCGATTAATTAGCCTAAAACAATCAAACCTCGTTAAACCGAAGTGGTCGGTGATATTAGTAAAAATTTGGTTGATCGAGGGGGATTTACTATAATTGTTTCTGAACACAACTTCGGTTTTCCGAGGTTTCAATCAATGCTTCGGTTTAACAAGGGTCGACCGTAGTCGTCATTTAAATTATTATCGTTATCGTTTTATATGTTTGTACATGTATACGTACTGTTGCGTTCCTTCTAATATTTACCGAAAGGTCTTATTCTGCGATGGTTTGGGGGCACCAGATTATTGCAGTCATTGCAATAACCAATCGATTCAAGCAACTTTCTGCAACGGGGTGGGAGTTAAACTGGATTGTTTACGGTTGGTTGTTCTAGAGGTTTCCCGTGGCGATTTGTTCACAAATCGGTCTTTTCAAAATGATGAGGGGAGGGGTATTTGAAGAATAGGTAGGATAGAATACTCTTGTAATAAGAGTCGATTCGTTATAATAAAGCTTTTATTTTATTTTAATACCAATTGATGTGAATATGACAGGACTTATTGATACAGCCTGTCCAAAAAGAAACTCAATACAAAAGGGCGATTCGACAGGGCTTATTGATACGGCCTGTCCAAGAAAAACAAAACTAATTTCAACAGGACTTATTGATACGGCCTGTACAAAGAAAACAAAGTCAACTTAACAGGACTTATTGGTATGGCCTGTTCAAGAAAAATAAAATAAAAATAAAAATTCAAAGAATTCAACGGCTTATTTAGAGTGGAGGAGCATCCACTACTTGTAATCACTCACAAGGTTTGAAGTTTGATCACGAAACGAAAGAAAATAATAGTGTATTCACAAATAATATTGTTATTACGAGTAAGAACTTTGTTATTTTTATTCGATTTTAAAGCACGATCAAAGCATGTCTTCTCAGCGACTTGAAGACGCTTCTATATACAATTTCGAATTACTACGCTAATCCTATGCTAATTCTAAGGTTAGTAATTTACATTGATGGTTTCTTTTAACACGACTAAACACTAATTGTTCGATTGTCTTTCAATTGCCTAGACGATTGTTATCCCCTTTTTTACAGTTACTATCGTTACGTATATTTCGTCGATGCTCTTCAATTGTCCAGATGATTGTCTGGATTATCCTCTCAATAATCGTTACCGTTACCTTTACATGTATTAACTATCGTTCGACACTCCCGATTGTTCAAATAATTATTGTGATTGTTACCCTCTCGATGATCATCGTATACGTTATATCGATAAAAAGAAAAAGGTAATATCCTTAATTTGGGTTGGCTAAAGCCTGGTGAACACGTGTAATTCATCCAATAGGAGTGCGTAAATTTTTGTCAATCACCAATAAGAATGCACAAATTTTTGATCAATCCGGCAAAACAAATCCAACACAAGATATGAAAAATGCGAGAAATGTGAATATTACAAGAAACCCGATGCTTAAACCTGTCTTAGAATGCTAATTAAAAATGTTAGGAAGGAGATTTTATATATAACCTTGTCCTCTAATTCTAACCCTTACCCTTAATCTAACCTTATCGGTTGCACGCGGAAAATTTAGAGGAACGGAGTCACATGTCCACCAGGCTTTAGCCAACCCCTTAATTTTGGAGGGATTTTCATGTAGAAATTGAGAATCAAAATGCTACTTCGGTAACAGTACTTCTGATGAACCACATGACTTATGCATATACGTATATGTACATGTATTTTAAGCAAGATACATGTATTTAAGAAAACATGATAAAAATGAATACAAATACAAAAATAACAAACTCGCGGTACATGTATATACATGAATCTGATGTTCAGGTATAAATTTGGCATTTACTTCTTGGTAAAGAAGTTTATTGAATTTATAAAATACAATCTATTGATGAATTTAGATGTCATGCATATTACATGTACAGTCAACCCTCTTTATAACGGCCCGGTATATAACAGATCCTCTTTATAATGAATGAAATTTTCGGAGCCATCATATAGGACACATATATTCGTTGTATACACTGTATAATGAATTTATTCTATAACAACCAAAAATTCTCAGAACCGTGCAGCCGTTATAAAGAGGTTTGACTGTATATGTACAGTCACCGAACTAATGACGTAATATTCGGTTCTATAAATAAGCAGATAAAAACCGAGTACAATCAATTCTCTCTAAACGCACAGGAGACATATGAAAATCAAACCTGAGAGTGCATACTTAGTAATATTATTAACTTGGGACCGAACCAAGGTGTGCATTTATAGAATAGAAACGTGGTGTGTGCATTTAGAGAGTTCATTTAGAGAAAGTTGACTGTAATAATTTACGGCGGAGAAATAGAATCCGCAGATCAAACGTAAGCAGATGTTATAAAATAAATTTATTCTTATATTATCTGAACATATTAGTATAAATGGAGATATTGTGGTACTAGACCTGTCAACATAAAAATGGACACAGCCGAATGTTGAGGGAAAGGACTGGATTCTATTCCTTTTCGAGCAACAACAACATATTTTAATGATTGCATTTTGTGGCATTCGGAAAATTATCTAATAAATCTAAGTTTAATCGAAAAAAATTTGCTTATTCTTTCAATTAAGGTAAAAGGAACTATATCTAAGCGCAGAATTTAATATACATTTCTAATGGCACTTTCAAATGGCTGATTTTACTTGTCCATGTCTACCGCCATCACTGACGTCCACGTCAACACCAACGTCGGAATCATCATCAGATAGAATGCCACCACCGTTCCAGCCATCAGTAATTACATGTATTTTGCAATAGTAATGGTGTATACCATTTAAAATTTAATCCGTATCTACCATATTTACGGATTAAATTTTAAATTTACTTCTTAGTTGAGAAGTTTAAACATTTTATAAAATACAAACGTTTGATGACTTTAGATGGTATACACCATATTCTTTATTTAATTATTCATTAAACGATTATATGAGAAAGGTTTTAGATGAATGCAAATTTTTTGATTTATTGGCACTACAACCACATGTTTTTCAAATCTCATGATGTAATGTGTGAGAAATATGATGAACTGTAATTATACATTCTCGGATTCGTATTTGAAATGTGTTGACCCAGCGTTTCGCACAAAATATCCCAGCACGTGCCCTTCTACCTTAATCAATTCAATGTTTAGATGTTCACGATTGTATTATAATTCTAGTAAACAGAAAGTATTTAAATTTAAGGAAGACTTAAAAGCTAAAGTAAAATTATAATTAGCTCTAGGATCATTGTAAGCATTATTCTAATCAAACGCAGTGATTTGTGTATTTGCAGTTTTGAGCAAATTATGAGAGAACGTTGTATTGTGATCAAACGTAATAGTGTGTTGATTTACGGGCATTTTGTGAGATAACGCTGTATTGTGTTGAGCTTGCAAACTATTGCAATTGGTAGCATTTTGTTGCTTTCTACGTTTTTATGATAAAAAATAAAGAGTATCACAATTGCCACGACAAATATAATTATTATTATAATCGATGGTGTTGGAAATGTTGGTTTTCAATCGGAGCGATATATTTATCAACCCAGAATAATCTTTTTGAGATAAATCCAAGAGTTTTACAAGTTTTAGAGTAGAACTTGTAGTATCATATTCGCCTCAAATTGCAAAATTAAAATCAAAAATATTGATAAAATAAACTAATTGCGATTATAAACTTATTATATACAATGATATGGTATATCATCAATAGAGCTGGTAAAGGTTCTCAGTTCCGAACTAATTTTAATGGTCTTTCAATCAGTTCAGGTTCCAAATTTGAGAAAGTGATGGAACAGTCTCGAACTTTCAATAATCAGTCTTAAATGACGATACGTATCACATTATCGTTATCACAAATGATTATTTAATAATAAGAGTACTGTTACCGTAGTGACATTAAATCCTTTGATTCCATAATTTTTGACCCTTAACGTTAATTTCCACATGAATATCTCTATAACTTCCTATACGATAATCATTCCATAATTAGACTCTTGTGTAATTCATATTGAAAGCCAAATTAAGAACGAGAAATACGTATTTCGTTATGAATGAACGATAGTAATAGTGATTATCAGGGAAGACGACAATTATCTGGCCAATTGAAAGACATCAAACGATTACAGTATTGCTTAATTACTTTTAGAAACAATTAATGTAGAACCTAACCTTAGAATTAGTGTAATACATGTAATTCAAAACTGTATAAAGAAACGTTCTTGAGCTTCTGTGAAGACATGCTTTGATCTAATAAAATAACAAAGTACTTACTTTACCTGTGAATACACTATTATTTTATCTTGGTCGAATTTCAAACCTTGTGAGTAATTGCAAGTAGTGGATGCTCCTCCACTCTAAATAAGCCGTCGATTTCTGTTGAATTAATTTTGTTTTCTTTGTTCAGGCCGTACCAATAGGTCCTGTTGTGTTTGAGATTATTTTGATAGCCAACGAAAAGTGATAGATAGAATTTTATTGTTTTTTTATTGAATCTCTTTACAGGACTATTCGATTTACTATTTTATTTGAAACGCCCCTAATATTAAAAAGTCGATTTGCGTACAAGTCGCCACAGGAAACCCTTAGAACACCCAAAGAAACCCTTTGATCGTAAATAATTTAGTCTAGCTCCCA